TTTTATTCTTTCCCTTTAATACGTGTGTAAGACCTTTTGCTTTTTTTTTTTGGGATCCCTGGTCTAAGATAAAAATTTATAAATGATTTTGATTTATAAATGAATCACATTACTGTTAGCAGAAAAAATTAAAATAAATGAATCACATTACTGGGAGTAGTAAAAAGTAAAAACTAAAAAGAAATAAATTTGTGTTAACATGAATAGAAAAATAGTAGTAGTCCTTATTAAAAGAATTAAATGAAAACTTTAGTGTAAATGACTTTTATGTGTTGGAAGTTGCTAAATCCCAAATCAGTAAAAAACCACAATCTCTCTCTCTTCTCTTCTTTCTCTCTCTCCCGCGCGCCCAAGTCGCCTCCTTTCGCTAGTCTTTCTCCGATCGTCGTCTCACCTCTCTTTACTTCCGTCGTCCTCTGAAATCTTACGCATTCTCCGTCTTTGCTTTCGTTGCGCTGCCGGAGGATAGAGAATCCGTCCAGATTTGCTGGACTGCTTCCGATTCGCTTTCATTGGCTCATCATCTCCGGTCCGATCCGTGCGTATTCTCTCCCGGCATTGATTTCTATAAGCATTTTATCCTTTCACAGTGCTCGATGATACACGCGGAATGTATTTCTCATTCGAATTTCAAAATCTTCCTAATCGATAATCAGATCTTCTAATTGAATGTTTTCTGAAGATTTTTGAGTTCCTTAAGCAGATAACTGTGATTTGCACAGATTTTCGTTTTGTTTTTTGATGCTGTATATGTTAACTTTAGTAGATCCAAGTGAGTATATATCATTTAAGTGACTTTAGTTGTCATCTTCATCAGTGTCAGATGCATTTTTCTCACAAGCTGTACTTTTACTCTGTGTAACAGGTGGAGGGTGATAAAACGCTGTGAATGTCTGTACTCTCTGTAAGTTGATAGAATGGAAGACGATGATGAAAGAAAGCTCCCTGAAGCTGATGTTATTGATACGTCTGATGTAGCTAATCCTTTGCCGAATAAGGATAGAGGCCTTTGATATAGGTGATTCTGGTTTT